CATTTCAGGCGCTGCAAGGCCAGGGCATTGCTCTGCCTGCTCCCGCCGCTGCTGCCTTTGCTCCCCCCAGAGCCGCTCCCGGCAGCTCCGTTCTCTCGGCGCTGCCGCGTGCTTTCGGACTCTTCCTCACTCAGCAAACACGCAGCTCGCTCTCGGCATGCACCTCGCATCTCTCATCCTCAGCGTCTTGCTGGCCCGGCTCCTGGGTAAGTCCTGGCTCTTGCCAAAGGCACACTTCTTCTCTTCCTCTTCTTCTTACCCGCAGGAAATCCTCAACAGCCTTATCAGGACCTTGTAGGGAAATATCAATGATTAGAGTGGAAATGCTGAGAAAAATCGGCTCCTCTTAGTGGTTTTGCAAGTGTGTGCTCAAGAAGCTCTTCTGTTTGTAAAGGAAAAAGGAAGGGAGAGAAACTTCAGACCTCTGCTTTGTCTTTTCTCACCTTCAATCCATCGCCCTCCACCTGTCTCGTCTGATCCACGTGTAATCACCTCAGCAGATCTGAGTTATCGCTACAGTCCCACGTTTTTCCTACTGAAATGTACATTGCAGGATCCCGGTGAACCTGCCACGGGCACCTCAGAGTTCTCATTTCACTGACATTATCCGGGTGTCCCATTCTGCCTCCAGGTTGACACAGCTCTGCCACGGCTTCAAGAGTTCTCTGAGCTGGCAACACGACCAGGGCTCCCTCTTTCCAATCTCAGGGTTGTATGTACTCAGGGATTGAGGAGCTTTCAGAGGTAACAGGGATGGGGGAGCAGGATGAACCTTTCTGCTGTACTTCGGTGGGCTCCTCAGGCAGCTGGAGGGATGCAGATCCAGCTCAAAAAATTCAAGTGTGTCAGGTTGTTCCCGGCTGCTCTGTGCAGAATGAGCAAGACCAGAGACACAGTCCAGCTCTCCTTTAGGTGATGCAGAGCAGAGAGCTCTGAACACCTACCCAAAATTTTCAGGACTCTGCTACGAGGCAGGGAGCTTTCTCTACCGGGGTTTTGCATCCACATCATTTAGCTTCACATAGTAATTCCCTGTGGAACTGCTGAAGTTGGCTTTCTTCCAGGCGCCACGGGGCAGGACACGGTCACCCAGGATGATGGACCAGTCACGGTGAAGCAGGGACACTCCTTCCACACCACCTGCAAACACCAGAGCAGTAATTTTTATGCCTTGCTCTGGTACCAGCTGCGGCAAGGCCAAGCCCCACAGCTGCTCTCCTATCAAGCAGGGAGTGGCCCCAAGCACAGCGGCCGGATCACCACGCACCTGAACACCACGGGCAAATCCAGTGTCCTGCAG